CTTTGAGTTGCCTTTTGTATGAATTGTGCTATACAAATAAACTTGCCTTGCCTTGCCTATATTACTGCATATTGTCTGTAAATTACCTCATATTGTCTGGTATACTACTGCAATATAGTCTGTATATTACTGCATATAGTCTGTATATTACTGCATATAGTCTGTATATTACTGCATATAGTCTGTATATTACTGCATATAGTCTGTATATTACTGCATATTGTCTGTATATTACTGCATATTGTCTGTATATTACTGCATATTGTCTGGTATATTACTGCATATTGTCTGTATATTACTGCATATTGTCTGGTATATTACTGTATATTGTCTTTACATTACTGCATATTGTACTATCTATTGTATCTATTGTTCCTTCACCACAAACTATTGTACATATTTTCAGTGGAAGGGGAAACCAGAGTACCCAGAAGAAACCTACAGAGACACGGGGAGAACATGCAAACTCCACTCAGAAAGGCCCTGTTCTGACCAGGATTTGAACCCAGAACCTTCTTGCTGAGAAGCGAGAGCGCTAGCCACTGTACAGCCTTTATTCTGGTCTCTCCCTCTCTGGTCTCTTTGTGGTCTCTCTCTCTGGTCTCTCTCTCCGGTCTCTCTCTGGTCTCTCTCTGGTCTCTCCCATCTCTGGTCTCTCTCTGGTCTCTTCTTGTCTCTATCTCTCTGGTCTCTTTGTCTGGTCTCTCTCTCAAGTCTCTCTCTCTGGTCTATCCCTCTCTGGTCTCTCTCTGGTCTCGTTCTTGTCTCTCTCTGGTCTCTCCCTCTCTGGTCTCTCTCTGGTCTCTCTCTTGTCTCTCTCTGGTCTCTCTCTGGTCTCTCTCTAGTCTCTCTTCCTGGTCTCTCTCCGGTCTCTCTCTAGTCTCTCTCTCTTGGTCTCTCTCTGGTCTTTCTCTCTAGACTCAGTCTCTCTGGTCTCGCTCTCTAGTCTCAGTCTCTCTCTGGTCTCTCTAGTCTCTCTCTAGTCTCTCTCTCTCTAGTCTCAGTCTCTCTAGTCTCAGTCTCTCTCTCGTCTCTCTCTAGTCTCTCTCTGGTCTCTCTCGAGTCTCCCTCTCTCTGGTCTCTCTCGAGTCTCCCTCTCTCTGGTCTCTCTCTAGTCGCGCTCTGGTCTCTCTCCGGTCTCTCTCTGGTCTCTCTCTAGTCTCTCTCTGGTCTCTCTCTAGTCTCCCTCTCTCTGGTCTCTCTCTGGTCTCTCTCTCTAGTCTCAGTCTCTCTCTAGTCTCTCTCTGGTCTCTCTCTTAGTCTCAGTCTCTCTCTAGTCTCTCTCTAGTCTCAGTCTCTCTCTAGTCTCTCTCTAGTCTCCCTTTTCTGGTCTCTAATGACAATATAATATTATTTCACCCGTATTTAGCGCTTCTAATGATTTTGAAATGTCATGATTAATCATTAAATCGCATTGGCTCAAAGTGAACACAAGGTGGCACTGTTGCTTTGTGAATACAGACTTATCCTCACATCAAGTAAACATAGTCTGTCAAAAAAAACTGAATTATATATTTCTATGAACATTGATAATGTGCGTTATCATGATTATCCCTGTGGAACCACCAGATGGCGCTGTGCCTTTACAAACCCGTCCACCTCAGAGCACTAAGTCACAGGACGGAGACTTTTTTGCACTTCAGCGACGCAGCACAGAGAGTGTGTTTGGCTGGATGTAGAACACAGACCTCCCTCAAAGCAGTTTTTCAAAGAAGGAAATGATAAATCCATTCTTAATCAGTGTATTGTATTCAACACCTCCCCACTCTATCCATCCATCTGATATTCTGCCATTCACTAGTCACTTTACCTGCTGATTTATGCTGTTTCTATTGTTTATTCTGCTCATATTCTCCGCTGCTAAAGTACAATATACACATCTGTAAATACTCCTGAGCCAAGAGCAATTATATCTCTGAATATTATCATACACATGTGTACAATAGAGAACATACAATTATCACATTACACCCATATCATTCCTTCCTGCTGCTGTCAGACTGCACAACGAACAGCGAGGACTAAGACACACTGCCGACCTGACCTCACGTGTCGTGGATCGGTGCGATAACTTGAAGAATATTCGATATAGAACCACATGTGTCCCTTTGGAAGGGACACATTTTTTAAAGACCAAGGTCATGAAGCTCCCAAGCTAAAATAAAGACATTTTTTTAGGGAAAACAGCACATTTCAGATTGAGATTAAGAGGAAGAGATTATTTTTTTAGTCGCACAGTAAGTAAGTGAGTAATTTTTATTTATATAACGCACCCAAATCCCTTTACAATGTTCAGAATTCAGATATTGTTCCATTCTCTCCACACGGTGATGGCAAAAGCGAGATCTGAACACACTGGACCATGAAAGCCTCCGACCAAACACCATTCCTTTCACTCACTCGATACATTCAGACCTATTGTACGTGCTTTTAGTGGTTGGGGAAACCGTAGCACCCGGAGGAAACTTTCGCAGACACAGGGAGAACATCAGGAAGCTTCACACAGAAAGGTCTGGAGGTGGAATCGAACCCAGGACCTTCTTGCTGTACAGATGTAAACATACAGCTATATATTTTTGCACTAGAATATACTTACTTCTTCATCATAATAATGTTGGAGATAATTTTATACTTGCTTCTTTTTTATTTTAGAGATTTTATTCTGTTTTTGTCACGAGTTATTGTTCGTTTATCCTCTTTCCTACTGTTTTGTAACTTGTGATGCAACACTGACATTTCCCCGCTGTGTGTGGGACCAACTAAGGATCTTTAATTGTGGCTGTAACCTGAAGGTGAAAGCCAGAATCTGTCACAGCTTTGAAGCTAAGTAAGGCAGGGTCTGGTTAGTACTGCGATGGGAGACCTCTGGGAACACCGGGTGGTCGTGTCCTTCGGCAAGACACTTCCCCCACTTTAGATAGATAGATACTTTATTGATCCCCCGTAGGAGAAATTCAGGTGTCCAGTAGCAGCAAGAATGAAAATAATTGATAATTCTAAAAACATAATAATAATAATCAGCAACAGTCCTTCAGGTCACAGCAGCAGAGGTGGAGTAGCCTCTGGGTGGAGCAGGACGGGTCACAGCAGCAGAGGTGGAGTAGCCTCTGGGTGGAGCAGGACGGGTCACAGCAGCAGAGGTGGAGTAGCCTCTGGGCGGAGCAGGACGGGTCACAGCAGCAGAGGCGGAGTAGCCTCTGGGTGGAGCAGGACGGGTCACAGCAGCAGAGGTGGAGTAGCCTCTGGGTGGAGCAGGACGGGTCACAGCAGCAGAGGTGGAGTAGCCTCTGGGTGGAGCAGGACGGGTCACAGAAGCAGAGGTGGAGTAGCCTCTGGGTGGAGCAGGACGGGTCACAGAAGCAGAGGTGGAGTAGCCTCTGGGCGGAGCAGGACGGGTCACAGCAGCAGAGGTGGAGTAGCCTCTGGGTGGAGCAGGACGGGTCACAGAAGCAGAGGTGGAGTAGCCTCTGGGTGGAGCAGGACGGGTCACAAGGTCTGATATTTCTCGGTACAGACCTCGCGCTCGGTTAATAAGCCGTTATTATTACACTATTTTAAACATTGCACAATCGTGTTTTTGGCCAAATGCAGAAAGACAAACTTCCCTGGAAAGCAGTTTTTGCAAAGAAGGAAATGACAAATCAAATCTTAATCATCAGAGTGTGTTATTGGAGTCCGTCGTGCAGTGTAATGAAAGAGTTCCTGGACACAGAAGGGGATTTTGTCTTTCCAGCCCCGTGGAGGATTGCGGTGAACCAGATCTGAAAAAGCCCCATCTGAGACGGGACTTTCTCAGATGTGTGGTCACTGTAACCTGCATCACCGAGCGGCCCGAGCCAAGGTGACCCGCCGCACCGGACACGGCGGCTGTGGCCTCCCAACGCTGACGCCACGCTCAAGTACCAGAGGTTTTATGTCGTGGGGCATCGCTGAAAACACTTTACCATCTGCTGTTTGACTCATCATTCTGTCACTTCACTCATTCACTGGAGCAGAAATAGTTACTGTACAGTCACAAGTACTTTACAATAGAAAGATATATACTTTATAGATTGTGCGTTGGTCCCTTGCGAGCAATCATACAAACAAAGGATAGAGTTAAACGATAAAAACATAGTTAAAAATGACAATAAAATACATTAAAATCATTAAAGGAGACAAGTGAAGGCACTGCAAGACATTTCTCGAGACCTCTCAAAACAGTGGTCCCTCACAATAAAGCTGTTGTATGTGTTTTTTTGAACAGTTTAACAGCTAGATCACAACAACACTTATCTCAGGGGACTTCAATGATTTGTTTTTTTTTCAACTTTATTTATTGAAAATTTGAACTATAATAGACATACAGCGTTAAGTAAAAAGGTGAAGAACAAAAAAAAAACAGACAATACCGCCGAATCTCAACCGGAGGAGGACTTCACTGTTGAACTGCATTGATAAAAAGTTAAAGCCGCAAGCAGCGTTGAGCGGCCCTCGCGCCATGATTTCCTCCCGTAGCCATAAAACAATCATTGTGAATTTGTAATGAGTATGATCAGTTATTTTTGGCTCCCCCCTCAC